TATGATAAATGCCCAATGCAATGGCATTGGATAGCTCCACATCATGTCACTTATGTTAACTGATCAGTGGCATGATAAATTTGTTGCTATTTTTATCCAGTCAGCATTTTTAAAGAAACAGAGACCATCTGGAATGCACAAACAAAGGCTTTCAGGGCTGCCACGGTCCAGCTTGCAATAGAAATATAATCACCTGATTTGTTTACCCCGCTTAGAGAGGCTTGTAATTAAATTCATGTGCCTTTGCCACCATTCTGGCAATTGTTTTCCCAGAGACAGTGTCATTTTTGGTTGCTATGCAATTTCTTTTCAGCAAATTGGGCTGTATCACAGGGCAGGCTCCTTCATAATAAATTCTGCTCTATTTAGGCACTTCTGCCCCCTATTTATTCCTGTCCTTGTTGTCATAGGATTCCAGAATTTAACATCCTTTATTGGAGTTCATTTTGAATGCACTTGTGAGAATTTCTAGGCTGTATTCAGGAGGACAGGCAAGAAATGACCAACTATATTTGGAGGGATAGAAGAGAGGATGTTGGGATTCGATTGGGGTGGGCAAGTTATGATCCTGGTTTGGCTTAGAGATGGTTTGGCTTAGAGATGGTTTGGCTTAGAACTCCCATCAGCCTTAAACAACATAGCCAATGGCAAGGGCCAATGAGAGTTGTAACCTAAAACCTCTGGAGCACTACAAGCTGCCCATCTGGATTAGATTGAATTTGAGCTAGTGCTGTCCTCTAGAACAATGGTGCACAAAAAGTCAGTCTCTAGAGATCTTGGGCTTCCATTCCTGGAAGCTCCTGCCACCATGGCAAATGGTCATGAATGAGGTGAAGTCCAAAACATCTGGAGATCTATTTGGTATTCATCTGTGTTGTAGAAAAGCATATTTGTAACGTCAGAGATCAATGCTGGAGTACATGATTGCAGCAGAATATTTTAATGGAATGCTGGATGCCTTTTTGAATTCACAATGGCTACTGCTTCTCTAAGCTGTGTTGACCATTTCAAAAGGGAGTTGTTTAGGAGAGGCAAGAGAAACATGCAAGAGACAAAAGAATAACCTCTGTGTACATGTCTTGTGAAAATGGCCTATATAATCTCTATTATGCACACATTCCCTCTGTATCTATTCACATGCAACCCTGCCTGTCCAATCATGCTTCTGGTTAAGTATAGCAATGACTTTGTCATCTTTTTATTTCATTTAAAACCATTTATATCTCATGCTTTCTTGCTAAGATGATCACAGTAGTGTACAATGAAAAACAATCAAATGATATTAAGCCATACTCACACAATGGGGTTAAGCAATGGCTGTCAACCTTCTAAGGTTCTGGATGAACTACCTTTTGCCACAATCTGCACTGTGCTTCACAAATTTAATGACAAAAATTAAAGTATTTTAACCTTGGCAACGTCTGCCTTCACTCCTTTGAGCTCTGCCGCTATTCATGATCTGCAAGTTGGGCCCAGCTCCATTAGGTTCCCATTCCGCAAGTGGAGGAGAATTGTTTTTGTTGCTTTTTAACTTTTTCTTAAAAGCCTTTGGCAATTAACATTTTGAATTAAGGCTTTATGCTGCTACTGGCAAAATGCATCTATTTTGTGGGTCATTAATAGGGTACAATTTCTTATTATAATGTTATGTTTTTTTCTATTGTTGGTGTAAGCTGCCTAAAGACTTAGAGAGATATAGGTGTAGTTACAGGCAGAAGGGCTCTTTACCATTGCAGCTTTCACTTTGAGCTTTATTGGAGCTATCCATGTACTGAGTCATCTACAAAATAGGTTCACCACCATGGAGCACCATGGATCTCCTATAAAGCTCTGAATGCAAGCTTCAGCGGATAAGGAGTCACCAGCCTCTCCTGGTGAGAGGTTCAAGACAGATAATAGCTGCAATTGAATGGCACACCAAACCATTGTTCAATGAATGGAAGCCATCTGTGGGTTCTCACACTTGCTACTCCTCTTCCAGTATGACTGCAAGAAGAATGGAGGAAGGCTTCGCTTCTGGTTTAGATGAACCTCACCTTATTATTTTGTCCCAACCTTACGTTTTGAAACAAATCAGCTTCCAGCCTTGGGTTATATGGCCAGCTTGTTTAAGAAAGCCATAGTTAGCATGAATGTAGGTTTATGAAATAATAAATGATGGTCAACTGGAAGTGAAAAGTGTTGATCTTGGCCATACAGCAATGCTGTAGGAAGAGAGAGGAGACAGGCATGTACATGCCTGAGATTCACTGTGACTCACTCTAGCCACAGTAAACCATGGTTTAGTATGGTGAACACAGCTAACGGCATGAAACACATGCCCTGGAAGCTATGCGTCCCAGTGTCGTCTGTGGTAAGCAGGTTTTGCAAGATTTTCAAAATCCTGTGAAACCATTCTGTCCAGCAATTTATCCCTGTGAACAGAGATAAGTGGCTGGACAGGATGGATGGATGGATGTATGAATATGTACAGCAAAGTTCGCAATGCTTTTGGCATAGCCTTTTCAGATCCAGTCTGTTTCCAATTCCAGGTGTGGTACATAAAGATTTAAAGACTTTTTTCTCAGGCATCTTCAGGTAACTTGTTCAGAACTGATTGTTGTTATTATCCACAGCAACCCAACTGTATAATTTATCTCCAGGTTGATCTGTATTTATAACCTGGAACTGAAACCTTCCTCTAGAACACTGATGGTGAACCCTTTAGAGACCAAGTCCCCAAACTGCACCCAAAACCCACTTATCGCAAAGTGCCAACACTACAATAAAACCTGAAAACTGAGGTTTTAGTTTAAAAAAACACCTCACAGCCAGTCAAAGCAATTTATTTATTTATTTATTTATTTATTTATTTATTTATTTATTACCCTCGGCAGAACACTGACCAGCCATGTGAAAGAGAGTCATGGCTAATGAGCCGCGGCTCATGACGTCATCGCCTGCCACCACTGCTACTTTCCAAGCATCATTATTATTATTATTATTATTATTATTATTATTATTATTATTATTATTATAGCATTTCTATTCCGCCCCTTGCTGAAACCTCGGGGCGGCTTACAACATGATAAAGTACATTGAAATACAAAAGTACATAATAAATTACCATTAAATATAAAAATACAAAAAATACATTGATTTACAAAAATAAAATTAAAATTATCAGTATAAAATAAAAATATAGGAGGAGAAAGAGAAGGAAGAAGAAGTTGCCCTGGCCAGATCATATGTTTTAACAATTGAAATGATGTTTAAATAAAAAGGTCTTTACCTGGCGCCGAAAAACCAGTAACAACGGTGCCAGGCGGACCTCTTTGGGGAGTGAATTCCATAGGTTGGGCGCCACCGCAGAGAAAGCCCTCCTCCGGGTACTTACTCTCCTAATTTCTTTCATGGAGGGTTCCCGGAGAAGGGACCCTCCCGCAGATCTCAAAGGGCGGTCGGGCATATATGGACGTAAGCGCTCGTTCAGGTAGCCAGGACCCAAGCCGTTTAGGGCTTTGTAGGTCATAATCAACACCTTGAATTGGGCCCGGGCTTCAATGGGAAGCCAGTGAAGCTGACAGAGGACTGGAGTCATGTGAGCATAACGCCCCGTCAGCAACCTGGCAGCTCTATTTTGCACCAATTGAAGTGTTCGGACTGTCTTCAGGGGAAGCCCTACATAAAGCGCGTTACAGAAGTCTAGGCGGGAAGTCACCAGCGTGTGTGTCACCGTCGCCAGGCAGTCGTACTCCAGGTAGGGGCGCAGCTGATTAATCAGCCGAAGCTGAAGGAGCATGTGCATGGCCCCTATGTGCACTGTTCTCCGATGCTCAGCTGCTGGGGTGATGCTGGGACGACTTAACTTGCATGGCAACAGAGAGGGCTCTGACTGCCTGCGGAGGCACATGTGACAGAGGTTCACCATCACTGGCCTAATCCTACCCTGGTGCACACCCCTAACCCTAATATAGGGCAAAAGTTCCATTGAAAAGAGGCCAATTTTGAAAAAGCCTTCCTTGAGTAGCGTTTTCTGCATGGCTCATCATTTCTGCCCATTCAAAACACATTCCAACCATCAAAATCATGTCAGGACACCTCATTTTTTTAACCTTAAACCTACCCTGGAGCACACCCCTAACCCTAGTAGAGGGCAAAAGTTCCATTGAAAAGAGGGCAATTTAGAAAAAGCCTTCCTTGAGTAGCTTTTTCAGCACAGCTCATCATTTCTGCCCATTCTAAACACATTGCAACCATCAAAATCATGCCAGGATACTTCGTTTTTCTAACCCTAACCCTACCCTGGTGCGCTCCTCTAACCCTAACATAGGGCTAAAGGTCCTTTGAAAATAATGTGATTTTGAAAAAGCCTTCCTTGAGTAGCTTTTTCTGCACAGCTCATCATCTCTGCCCATTCTAAACACACTGCAACCATCAAAATCATGCCAGGACACCTTGTTTTTCTAACCCTAACCCAGTGATAGCAAACCTTTTACAGACTGAGTGCCCAAACTGCAACCCAAAACCCACTTATTTATTGTAAAGTGCCAACACTTCAATAAAACACTGAAAACTGAGGTTTTAGTTTAGAAAAAACAACTCACAGCCAGTCCAAGCATGCATGCATGCATATATACATATATATGCATCTCCCCCTCTCTCTCTCTCTCTCTCCCTCTCCCCCACCCTGGCAGTGCACTGACCAGCCATGTGAAAGCTCGAATGAGTCGCAGCTAATGAGTCAAGGCTCATGACATCATCGCCTGCCACCGCTACTCCTTTCTGAGCATGCGTGTTGCTCCCATGTGCGCTGTTATCTGGTGCTCGGCTGCTGGGGCAATGCTGGGGCGACTTGGCTCCCATGCTGACAGAGAGGGTGCTGCTTGCCCACTGTGGCACGCATGCCATAGGTTTGCCACCAGTGCTCTAGATCCTCTTATGAGAAACAATGATTTGCTTATTGTTTGCTTTCTGGAATGAGTGTTGAATTCATTTTCTCTCTTTCCTCTTTTATTTAGTTTGAAGAGGGTGTTTTGGATGCTTGCCTGTATCTGATGGATAGAGCCCAGTTGGATCTCTCTGGCAGAGGGAATCCAGTCAAAATCAGCCGCGTTGGTTCTGCAGTGGTATGCAATCAACACAAATTGGGTGCAATATACAAGGGTTTGGCATGTCATCTCTTTCATCAGTGTTTATGAAACACAAGGATAGTTTCTGCCTTTAAGAAATGCAAAATGACTTTGTGCCTCAGGCAACAGATTTGGGAGTACCATTAAAAAGCAGCTAATTCATAAATATGCAGCTTGTTTTATTTTTACCACCATATATAAGGGATGGGACATTTGAATATTCCACTTCAGAGGCCAGATGTGTTGAGTCACCTTTGTACATAAAGTATTCCACAGTCCATTAATATTTATCATTCCAACAATTTCTAGTGTGAATCACTCACTGTGGAATCTTCTGCATAGCTGCTCAGAAGTAAGATCCACTCAGTTCTGTGGGGCTTACCTCCAGCTAGATGTGCATAGGATTACACGGAATCACAAAATCATAGAAAATTAGAGTTAGAAGGGGCCAATAATGCCATTGCTCAGTGCAGGGACGCTACTTTACAGCCTGAATTTCTCAGTTTGCAAACAGCAGAAGAAAGCCTGAAAGCCAAATGGCTTGACCAAGGTTGTCCAGGAAGTCTGCCCTGAGGCAGTGGTTTCTTCTCACCTCTCCAACCTAGAGACTTTATCACCTGGATCACACTGTTAAACCAGCCCCCCTCAGATGGCTGTCCAGTTGCATCTTGAATGCCCCTAGTGTGGGAGAGCCCACAAGCTTCCAAGATAATTGGCTCCATTGTCATATTGCTCTAACAGTCAGGAAAATTTTCTTGATATCTAGCTGTAACTTGAGCCCATTAGTCTGTGCCCTGCACTCTGGGATGATCAAGAAGAGATCCTCTCCTTCCTCTTTGCCATCTTCCATTTGTATACTTCCCATGCTTTCTCAATGCTTCTTCTGACCTTTTTCTTAGCATCCCTTCAGCCAAAGAGACAAAAAAGAAAAGAAAAAGAAAGCAAATATCATATCAGGAAGGAACTATGGGATAGCTGCACCATGACTTTTCATTAGGAGCCCTCGATCTGGAAGCACCGTGTCTTGACAGCTTCTGTAAAGTGACTATAAAATCTAGAAGATGCAATTGTGTTCTTTCTTCTGTGTTCTTTACCTTCATTGGAAACTCCAACCCCTGAAACAAATACAGCCACAGCTGCTCAAATACTGCTTTTTTAGTTTCAAGTGCTTTGTTTGAAAATACCTTCTGTACCAACCAATTATATTTATTTGAAATGGGGAGATTACAAAATAGATGTCAGTGCTAGAGAATTGACCTCCACTCTTGGTGGCTTCACTGTATATTTTGATATAGGCCGATAATCAGTTTATTCTGTAATATGCAAAAGAGTGTGATGATTACAGCATAGAATTTTGGAATACAAAGCTCATGCAGCAATTTCTCCTTTCATTTAACCTAGAGGAATTTTACCATTAAAAAAATAGGATTGCAATAGTAATTGGCCCTAAAGAGAGAGTTTAGTAGTAGGGCAAATCAAAGATGGCACAAAATACTTTGGAGACTGAGGAAGAAAATTTGGATAGCACCCTACCTCAATAAGAATAATAAAAAAGTGTTGCTGTCCAAGCTTGTGTTGGATGAATTGATAATTGTCAGTTTGATGCCCTCAACAGCATTCCAAACTCTGCCTAGATGACAATGGAGCACTGTATAAAACGTTGGATTCTCCACAAAAAAACAGAAAACATCTCCACAAACCGCCCCCAAAACCCCCCAAACCCCATATGGACATGCAAAAAGGCCCACCCAGCAAAAATGCAAGGTGTGGGGATGAATTCAGAGCTTACTGGCATCCTGATAGCACAATCCTATGCTCAGTTACCTGGGAGTGAAACTTATTGAACTCCATGGCTCTTACTTCTGAGTGGATATGTATCTGTGATTTAAGGGGTCCCTGATGTCTACTTTAGGTGGCCTTTGGCATCTGCGTTACAGGGCTTTTCTAAGGATTGCAATGTAAAATCCTTTGAATGCTTGAAATATAAATGTTGGGATTATTATGCTGAATTCTGACAAGGTATGACTGATTTAATCCTGATGATTTGTGATAATTATTACAGTTTTTTCAAGATATGTCCATAGACTTCGCTAGTCTAGAACTGAGCTTAAGTAGATCTCCAGATGTTTGATTCTTCAGTTTCCATAAACCCCTGCCAGTCAGGAATACTGAGTAATGAAGCCCAAAACATCTGGAGATCTACTATCTTCCCATTCCTTCTATAGTCCACCAAATCTGCAGGTTTTTGATTTGCACTGATAGCAACATGTGTAGATATCAAACTACGGTTAGGTCCATCAAGGTCCTTTTTATATCTTTCACAGCTGCTTAGAGTCTTGCTGAAACCTCTTTAGATCTCCTGAATTCGTACCTAAGTCTCAGGATTCACAGGTAGTCAATTTTCTAATTAGAAACCAGTACTTAATCCAGCCAAAGGCTTTTCAATGAGAGTCGTGATTTATTTGGCAAGAGTGTAGCAGCTTGGTATTAACATAATTACAAGGTGCAGAGCAAAGGAGCTTTTCCGCATAGCCTCCACTGATTTGGTTCAAACTGCTGGGAGGAAATGTATTGCCCACTAATAGCTATCCATTTAGACATTAGTCAGCAAAATCTTATTTCTTACTGCCTTACCAAGCACAAATAAGACAAACAAAAATCTTTCTTGTTTCCATGATAGGCAAACAGTGACCCCAGTATTTTTCATGGATCACTTGCTCAGGAGGAATTAGATCAAAATGCATGGAATTGCAAAAAGATAAAGCTGGAATAAACAGAAGAAGCTTGTTCATTTTTTCTTGTGAAATATTAATTTCTTTCTAGAACATGTTCACTTCCCAGGAAATGCTGTAAGTCAGGAACAGAATTCTGTGACTTTTTTGATGAGATGATGAACCCACTCGGAACTGAGGTTTGTGGTACATAGCATGACCTGGGAATGCTCCCAATACACTCAAGTGTCCAGGAAGAAAAATTGATACAGTTTCTGTTCAGGCAATCACACAATATGTGATGGGGATCTGGAACTTTATGGTGTGCAGTTCCTTGCACCATTTTGTTTATTAAATTATCTTTCTTTCAGGTCAATGCTAAAGATGATGAGGGTGTGATTGTTGGGTCTTGGAACAACATTTATGAGTATGGAGTGGCGCCTTCATCTTGGACCGGAAGTGTAGACATTCTGCTGGAATATTACAGCTCTAAAGAGCCAGTACGGTATGGTCAATGTTGGGTCTTTGCTGGAGTCTTCAACACATGTAAGTATCAGGTAGAACATGCCACGAAGAATGGTATTCTGCTTGCACAATTCATTTTGTGGTGAAACAATGATGTGGGTATAGAATTTCCCCCCAGGACCTTTGGTTATTTAAGATCAAGAACTTACCGCTAATACCAAAAATGTAATCTTCGCTTAATCTATAACAAGGAGTGTTTACACAGGACTTCTTTTTAAGCCTTCAGGTACATGTACATTATGGCACTAAAAGTGAATCTGAAAATCTGAATGCACAATGGGATGACGAAATATGAAACGTATGGCAGCCTTACTTCTTCGGCTCCTCCTTCTCTGTAGCCAGCAAAGAACAAAATGAATTATGTTTGTTTTACTCATTCCTTGAATTTGAGGAAGTCCAGTGGGAGAAGGTCAAGTTATAACAAGTCAACATCACAGCAGGGTCTGTATGATCCAGTGTTAGTCTAACAAGCCATGGCCATGTCAATGGGTCTACTCTAAGCATGCAAGCATTGCATGCAACCCCATGCATGTGTCTTCTTACTTGCTTGGAAATGCGACATAGGTGGCACAAATTCAACACAACATCAAGTTCCAGTCACCCTTTGAAGTTAAGGCTGCAGTTTATAGACTCCTTCCCCAAGCTGATGCCCTCCAGATGTTTTGACTACAAGTCCCAACATCCTTGACCAACTGGCTGGAGCTGATGTGGGCTATCTTCAGGAACTGGTCCACCAAGAAAGCAGAGAAGAAGGCAAATCCAGAGAGTTCCTGCTGAGAGTGAGCACCGGTGCAAAACAACAAAGCAAAGAGACACAGAAAGCAGTTGCAGGGACTGGGCCAACCAGTCTCAGGTTGTGCAGGGAAGAACACCCTAATATTATTACCCTAAAATTACTGGGAAGGAGGCTCAGATTGAGAGCGAATGGCTTGCTGAAGGTCATGTACTGAGTCTTACGGCAAACAGAAATATAAACCCTGGACAGCATATCTCAATGTGGTATAATATTATTTAACAGCGGGTAAGGAACACTGAGTTTGTTCCTGAATCATTTCAGGTGGCATGGCAAGCATTCCTTGCAAGGATCAATTTCCTTTCATCTCATCCACTGACTCTCTTCATTGAAAGAAAACATTATGATGCTTAAAAATCCCTGGAAGGCAGAAGCTGGAAATCTTTCATTCCTGTTGTTGCCAACTGACATGACCAAGAGATAAATATTCAAGATCTTAGTGCATGCATGTGTGTGTGAGATGTTGGAATGTACATCTCTATTTAGATATATAATGCTTCATGTGGGAGACACATACTGTAACAAACATCCTGTTTGTGTCTCCATTGGCAGAACTCCAATGCAAACCTATCTGCCACTTCACACATATATGCCAATATTAGTAGGTACTGCCAGCTATTAAAAACATATCTACTTCCTGACTAATCTATCTTCCCCCACGATCACATATATAAAAAACACATCCATCACATGCAGTGGTATTCTGATATTCTTCAATGAAACAGTCATTTCATTGAACAGCCCAAAAGCAGGCAAAATGGTCCATACTTCCTTTCAGGTTGCCATGAAGTCAGTCAAGAATCAGTCCCTTAAATTTGCAGGGAGAGAGCTGTTCATATCTGCACCCAGAACTTGATAGGATGGATTTACCTGAATGCCACAAAGGTAAATTAAAGATCTAGCTATGTTCCGAAATGCCATGGCTGGTCTACAAAGAAATGATCATGCTGTGCTGTGGACTCTGCTCATCTCCAGTACTTAAACAATCATGCTCCACTTGTGTTGTTTGCATCATGGCTACTGTGGTGCAGGAAGTAGGAAAAGGAGAAGCAAACGTTGACAACTAGTGGGCTTCCAGATGTTGGCTACAACCTCCGTCATCCCACACACTTGGCTATAGGGCTAACAGGAGTCGGAGGCCCAAGTATTTAGCAGGCCACAAGTTGCCCACTGTTGTCTTGAACTATATTCACACTTCCTGTTGCACAAAACAGGACCAGCAGGGAACAGTCCGTGTAAAAATTAAAAATAAGAAGGCCACAGTCCCTATGTATGGCAGATACTCAGTACTTGGGGTGTGTGAGCAGAAATCTGAGATCAGGCAAGCTTGGGAAGGTAACCTGGTTCTTTTTAAACTTAGATGTAAGTTGCTCCAGCTGAGAGAAGTTACCAGAGCTGAGAGCTTTATCTTAGGCACTAGCATCAGTTGGCCTCCAATAGTACTTTAGAAAATGCACACAGAAATGTGTACCCTTTTTGTTCAAAATGAGTGGTTTCCTCATGTGATGGAAACAAAAAACAGGTCACAGACAAAAACAAATTTGAGCATCTCTTGTTCTCCTATTACTACATACCATGGATACTTAAGAACACATAAACTATAAAAAATCTCAATTAACTAGAACTTCATTTTCACAGAACTCTGGAAAAAGATTGCATACAGCCTACCAATAAAAATCACATTCTGTGGCAATTACATTCAGCTTTTAAAACATACACTTCTGTAATATGTGTACATGTTACATTAATTACTTTTGGTTTTAATTTCAGCTGTTTAAAGACTTTGAACGCATTATGTCTGCAACTGTTTAGATTTCCAAGGTTACCATATTGAATATTTTGGGGCAGTCATCTGTTAAAAATGCTAAAACATTCTGAAAAAGAAGGAACCAAGCCATTAATCTTGAAATTGTCAGTAGAATTATTTCCAGTGAGCCCCATTTGCTTGTGCACTGGAAGTCAGGGAGAGCATTTAAATTAAGCTTAATCAATAGGTGCATATGCGTAATGGATGCATCCAGGTAATTTGTCATCGAACAATTAAAATGAATGAGCAATGTTACATTGTTGCTACTTGAAGCTACAACATATAAACCACTGTAAGAGGTCTTCCCAGGCCCTTTAAGGGGGTCCCATCCTGTACCTCACTGCACAAATTATTGAGGGTAGAAATCACAGGCTAACTGACCAGTGGCAACATCAACCTTTCCTCCTTAGTCTCCTCTAAATTCCCAGTGGAAATGTTTATGAGGTTCCATCAGTGGGTATAAAAAGGATAGAAGAACTCAAAAATGCATCACCCCAAAAGAATGTATAAAATATGTACATATATTAATTTATATACATGAGTGCAAATTTAGAAATAATAACTATCATTATAATACAAATGAAATACCATAGAGATGAAGATTGACAGGGTGAGCTACATTTCTGCTCAGTCTGCTATGGAAGTGCCAGTTCTTGACAGGTGATTTCAGAATTGGCACCCTTTGGCTTTAAATATTGCATCAAAGAGAGGACTGTCCCCGATAAAACAAGGCACCTGGCCACCCTTGATATGAGAGTGGAATGCTATAATTTATTAAGAAAAGACATTCTCATCGCTCACTCATCAAGAGTAATATCCTTTATCGCTATACATTGTGTAAAAGTTTGTTTTTCACAGAGGTGGAATTGATGCTTTATTCTTTTCGGTGTCAGGCAAAACCCTTTCTACTTTCCTATTATTTTAATGTCTAATTGATTTTAATCTGGGTTTTATTATACTGAGGTGTCAGATGCTGTGCTTTATTTGTTGCTTTTATTGTAAAACATCCTGAGATGTCAGTGGTTGGACGGGTTATAAAAGCTATAAATGAATGAATGCATGAATGAATGCTTTGGTGTTTAATTGAAGGGCCTGTACACATCCTTGCATGCACATACGTAGTCCCAGGCTTAACATCCTGTATCCCCTGGTAATGAAATCCTTTGCATATCCTAGTCCCAGACTATTTAGCATTTTTAAAGATTGAGACAAGCAGTTTGAATTCTACCAAAAAATTAAGGAGTTGGCATCTTGATCATTCCATTATTTATTTATTTATTTATTTAGTAAAACATTTTTATGCCGCCCCATTCGCCGAAGCCTCAGGGCGGCTTACAACATAGAAACATTATGTTTCTGATGAGCCTTTATTCTGGTGGTAAAATTCTGACTGTCTCTAAGGTCTTCCACCAAAAATCAGATATACAATATTGGCCTTCCTACAACAATCCAACAAAGCAACCAGGATATATTTCTAACTTTCTGGGCAAAACATCTACTCACCTTAACCTTAATAACCTTAATAAGCCAATAATAAGCACAAGCTGTATCTATTCTCATACAGTTTTACAAGCAAATGCCTCCATACTGGCTAGATCAGATCATTTCTCCCACCATCTTCTTTTCTGACAGTTCTGAGGTGCATTGGAATTCCCGCAAGAATCATCACCAACTATTCCTCAGCCCATGATAACGATGCCAATCTCCAGTTGGATATCTTTGTGGATGAAAATGGAAAGGTGGATTCCAAACTGACAAAGGACTCAATCTGGTATGTTTCTTTAAGTGCGACTACACTTTTTGTAAAATACAGGGTGGGTGCAATTACTATAGTAGCATCAGCATACATTGTACCAAGAGCTCACAATTACTGGTGGACCCACATGTGTAGGTGATCCACTTGGAAGCCTACAAATAGCATGAATGCAACTGGCAAAGATAAAACTGTTCAGAGTTGGAACACATGAGAGATAAAATAATGTCGGTGTAGGCACTGGGCAGGCTTCTCTGATTGATGAATGCCACCGAGACAGCCATTTTCCAGTAGCCTCTCATCACACCTCCCTTGGTGGGAGCACTGATTAGTTTTTTGCCTCTTAGGGAGTAATCCTATGTCTCTGACCAGTTTTTAGATTCTAGATCTGAAGGTGGAGGCAGCACTTTGACCTCAGACTGGAAAAGCGGAGTTCCACCCCACTCAGTGTTGGAGCAGAAAGAGCTATGCTGGATGCTCTCCAAGGTTGGGAATGGAAAGGGGGCATGTTGGTGGTGGAATGCAGGCTATCCCAAAGCTTCTCCAGCACCTCCCTGCCTTCCGAAATGCCGCTGCTAGATGGACAGAAACACCCATTTGGTGAAACATGCAGGGAACGAGTACATGGCATTGTCTCTGCTGTTCCTCTGAGTTTGGGAGGCTTACAATGATCACAACAGGATTGCACCTCATTTATATATTAATTTGTCATCCACTGTTCCTCCAAGTTGCAGTTTCCACTTACTTAGTTCCCTGCTGGCCCTCAATTTTGGTAACTTTTAGGGTTTGGCCTGCTTGTTTTCATCTGCAGAACTATGCCACCTTAGGGATGCATGAGAAATGTGTTTTTATTTGCTTTTCATCCAGTTTTATTGAGTTCACACCTTCCAGACCAAACATGGACTTGAATGCACATTTCTAAACTATCAATGTGATTTGTGCCCCCCCCCCAAAAGGATGCTGTTCGGAGCATGCATAAAGTTGTACAATGCACATGGAAAATACGCATGTGGTCTGGGGTTGGCTTCCCAAATCTGGTCTCATTCATTTATCTAGTTATTTATTTATGAGCTTCCTATCCCACCACTTTAGCCAAAAAAACATTCTCTGGGTGGGTAACAACATATAGTGTACCAACAACAATATAAACTTACCAAGTCTCGGTTGAGACCTCTCTTGCTGGAACTGGTCCACATATCTTTCTCTTCATTATTAGTTGGTCCATTTCTTGTTTCCCCCTAAACTCACCATCTGCTGCTTGATTGGAAAATCATGAGGTAGGGCCTGTGTGGCTCCTTTTCCTCCTCCTTTGGCTAATCCTGGTCAAAGGATGGAATGATCCCATTCCTTTGAATTGGGGAGGGAGGGTTGATAGCTGGTGGTGTTATAATTTAGACCCTGTCTGGCACCCCTACCCACAAGGAGGTGGATGGTAGGTGTATTCTCTGGTGAGTTTTGTGGCAGGGTAAGTCTGGAGTTTGTGCATCAGAGAATTTAAAGCTGTAGGTTTGTTATTCTGTGTTATGTCTCCTCTGTTTCCTTTTGTCTCTGTAAAATTCCTTTTGATAATAAATGTTCCATGGGAAGTGCATGACTGGGCTTTCTAGGGCTGAGGTTTTCTTTCCTCACTTGGAAATATCACTGAGGCTCTTGTCCTGAGTCCTGGAAGGAAGCAGTGGCTACATAAAGGGGCTCCTTTCAGCTCCATCTCTGTCACAACATCCTTCTGAAAAATGCACACAAGCCTTGTTTAATCCATGAGAAAGAATGCATACACTTGAGAGCTGTACACAATGGATGTGTGCAGCTGGGAAAATACCCATGAATGTTCACATAAATAAGTTTGCAAGCTGAAATAACTATGGAATGAACATCTAGGTGGAATTTTGATGAGCTTGAGTTTTGCTGATATGCCATGTACTATCCAACCATCTTCTAAGCCAGGGACATGAGGTCTATGACTTTCCAAATGTTGATGAACTACAGCTCCTATCATTACTGACCATTGCTCAGGCTATTGGGGCTGATGGGAGTTGGAGGCCAATGCCACCAGGAATGCCAGAAGTCCTCAGACCTCCTCTAAGCTACGGGGAATGGGTTTGTGCCTCCCCCTATGTATTCATTTAATTAAATGAGGATGGCTTTTACTTCACGGACTCCTTTGTTCTCTGGCACCTCTTCTAAGCTATGCCAGAATGTAAGTAAATGGAACTTGCAATTCTACATTGGCTAACAGCAAGCTCCATAGCTTTTTAAAACTTGCTGCCTCTCTGCTTCCATTTGGGGGCTTGATTACTTTTTGAACTTCACCTTTAATCTCCTCTGTTAGTAGTATATTTATTGCTACATGATCGACACAATCTCATGGGGCATGCGTTAAATTAACCCACGGTGTTCTCTATTTCTCCTCTGTGTCCTTTCTCTTCATGTCCTTTCTAGCATTGGATGAAAGCATTGCTCTAAATTATTTTAGATCATAAGCTTGCCATGATTTCAATGAAGGGTTTTTTTTAAAGAACAGTTTTAAGATCATCAACACTATTTTAAACATTTCTCTCATCCAGAAATAGATGGTGCAATGAGCTGTTGTTTCTGAGCTATACATTTTCTCCAAAAATATTTATTTCTGATAAACACTTTTATTGAATTGTTGTTTGGTCTATGAAAAGCTGAAGCTCATCCAAAATATCTAGATATATTTCATGCAGATACAGTTTCAGGAACATTGTCATTGGAGATTTTAACTCTGATCCTCTCTACCTACAGAAATGATCTAGATTATAAAGCAAAAAAGCTTGCAACCAATGTTGCGTTTGTGCTGGCAAAACACAGTTGCATTTGAGTTTGGCAAGATCCCTGATTTTGGCTGCCCACCCTCATCCACCACCTCCCAACCGCTCATGAAGCCTCCTTCCAAAGCCTCCTTCCAGACCAGTATGGGATATGGCACACAGGATAGGGAAGGGGAAATCAGCATTGCTTGAGCCTGTGGAATTCTCCAAAGTCCTCTGTGATGTTCAGATGTTCTGGCTCATGGTTTTGATTGAGACCGAATGGAAAAAGTGCATTTCAGTATGCAAAGTGCACAAACAGGCACTTGCTTCAAAGGCTAAAGCGTGAAAATACTTAACTGTATTTTTAAAGTGCAGAGTATTTCTCAAAGATGCATTTTGCAAATGCGATTGCAAATGTGTGGGTCATACAAGCCTTTCCCAAATGCCACACCCACAGGGTTGTGACTGGTGCAAATTAGGGTCATAGCCAGGTTAAAAAATGTCTGCAAAAACCCCACCTTGCAAATTGCAACTGGCAATTCTCTATGGACTGTGATCTGCTCCAAATAATCTGAATCAGTGTACATGAAAAGAAGTCACAACTGGATGGTAAGTTCAGGGTTTTGCTTGGCAAGCCAGAGCCAGAGGTAAAAACCACATTGGAAGGGCATCGGAGTTGACTGCCACCATGTCCTCTTGCACCAGAGCAGGTGTGGGGGAAATGGAATGGTGCCACATATTGATTAACAAAGTCAAAGATAATTGGATTGCAAGAGCAAGAGTAAGGAGTTGACTTTAAAGCAAATCAAGGAACTGCATGACTCTGAGCCCATTCCACCCCATCAGGCTTCCATTTAGCCTTTTCTTCAGCTGACAATTGTTGGTTTGTACATATTCATACTGCTTTTCTGGAGTGTTGTTTTATTTGTCTCCTTACACCAATCAGTTTGAGTGTTGGACAGGAGACCAATACATTCTTCAACCCAATCAATAAACTGTTCCAAGCAGGATCTAAAGGAAAACTAATAGTATAGGGAGTCTGGCCACATGGTGTTGAAGGCAGAAGCCAGGCACTACAGAAATCCATACCTGGATTTTAATGATGGCTGAAAGATACCCATCAAGCCCAAGCCTGATCTCTTTCCATGCCTTTCATGTTGGAATTGTTATGACAGCTGGAGGAATACACTACACCTTCTCAGCACTTCAAGCCTTCCCCAACCTTGAGCCTTGTACATACGTTTGGACTGCAACACCCAGAATTCCCAGTCAATGGCCCTGCTGGATGGGAATTCTGGGAATTGCAGTCCACATGCCTCTGAAGGCCGACAGGTTGGGGATGACTGCTATACATCATCTCAGTAACTCCTACAGAATCTCAATCAGGTAGGAAGGTATTGTTAATAATACCATTTTGCAGACTGGGGGGCTGGAACCAAGGCCGAGAGTTCCTTGCTTGTGTCCATCAGTGAGTACAAACCACATCTGAAGCAGGAGGAGGTAATATAGGTCTGGATAAGGGCAATTCAGAATACAGGAGTGGCGTTAGAATTTCACACCATCTTCAAAACATCTTGGTAGCCATGCTTTTTGGCACTTTCCCTTCAACCCTGTGCAGTCAAAGAGCGAATTGCTTCTAGTGTGCCTTGGAGAAATAAGAGGGTTGCTCTCTTCCATGGTCATGAAGTTCTTGAAGTTTCCTCCTCTTCTTTCAGTAGCAAACTTCCCAAATTCACCCAGTCTGAATGGTCTTTCTTTCTGCTCTGCTAGCCCCACCAGTAAGGCCTGGCAAGAACGATTCCACATTGTAACATTTCAAGCAAGACCAACAATTCAAGCACTTTTCTGGGATGTTTTTCCCCTCTTCCTGACATCCAGCTGCATTAACTTGCATAACTGACAAGCTTCTTCCACATCCTGGCTTTCATTTCCTCTTTGAAATGTCTTGCTAGACGAGCCTCAGATCTACCTGCCCCTCCGGACTTCTCATTGTGTCTTTCTTCCCGATCCATTATGAATGAAACTGTCTGAGTCTAACAATCCTCCTGTTTGCTGAAATGATATTTCTAATATCGCACCGAGCATCGGCAACAGCGGCTGCAGCAACATAATTAGCTTTTTATCAACTGTCAGGGAGCAGGTTTTTGCTTTTTGTTTTGGAGAAAACCACTGCATTTCTTCATCTTGTTTACTTTGCCATGGCGCAAATCTCTTGAAGCATGTCTGAAATATATATTCTGGGCTTTTTCTTTCCCGTTTCACTCTTTCATGAGCCCTAATAAGCCAGTGGAATGAAAATTGCAAGACCACACACTGTTGTTGCTGTTTTAAGGAGGGTTCTTCTCCGCAGACTTTATATGCAACGACCCTGCATTGCTTTTGTCAAAACTGAGCTGCAGGTCCAGAATGAGAGAATCAGAGCTGAGCAACATACAGGGATGCACCTTGTGTGAAACAAGGAAAACCTTGTTTCTCAGGCATGGTGCTAGCCCAGACTAGCCATTATTTAAGTGCACAGTTGCATGGAGCTGGACCACAGAATCTGACCAGGTGGGGGGCAAGACTATTTGGACAGCAGACAATTCTCTGCCATCCCCTCTGGCAGCTGCAAGGAATCATGGTTTCTGAGCATGTACAGAGACTGTTCACCTCACTACCATTTAATTAGCTTGTTTGTTCAAATCCTTAATACGCTGTTTCTGTGGATCTAGAAGAGAGGGGACTTTTGTTCCTGGTGGAGTTTTCTGCAAAAACAAATTCTTCATTTTTCTAACTTTTCTCAATATCTTTGTCAGTAATTCTTTTCTCAGCACCTTTGTCTGTACACCTGGGGAATCCTAAGCTATTCTGCCAAGAAGACCTCCTTTTAGTCCTGCTCTAAGAAAAAAGGAAGATGCTTAGATATACTTGGTCAAAGCTCAATAAACACAGAATTTAACAAAACCTTTTGAACTATGCTATGAACAAGTGAATGAGGTAGGTCAGCAACTCTGCCAATCTGCTCAGGAGGAAGGTTTTACAGAGAATTTCCCTTTTAAAACAATGCAGCTCAATGTCCCAATATATAAATAATGTTTCTGCCTCTTTCTATCTTTCTGTGTGCAAGAGAATGGGCGGGGGGGGGGGAGGCAACAATTACACATACACTCAAACAAGGAGCCTTTCAAATATCCCCCCATACAATTCTACTTTAGCTAGTATATCTTTTCATGCTTGCAGATAATCTTTGATTTCAGCACTGATACAGAGTTCATTGCAAAAAGAGAGAGAGAGAGCAGCTTTGTCCCCTGATTAGATGTTGCAAAATGGGTCTGATTGTAAAAGCACCAATTTATATGAAACTGAGAACAATGAAATCTGAATTGGAGATTCTGGTAGAGACTGTCTGTTGTTTGTAGCACCGGGATGATAAGGTTTATTTCTGATGTCAGTAAATTAGAAAATGATTTAATAGCTGGACTCACCTTGTTAATGGCTTGAAGTTGAAATCCCAAAAGAGGCAGCTGATTCCATCCAGATGAGCAGATAATCTGAACAACTGATTCATGTGCAAATGTTTATTGGAAAACGAAATATAAGATTTGGCCTACTGAGTCTTGCTGGCAGAGTTCCCAATTACCAAAAGTTTCCTGTTAACATTAGGGTAATGTGCAAAAACACTAGTATACAGACACATCAGTACAATTAAATAACAGTCTTACATCCAGAAATCCAAATACAAGCCTGCTGAATGAACAAAACAAGTAAGATCATTCAGCAACCAAATGCTGTCTTGATTTTTAAAAATAAAAGGAAAAGACAGAGCTAAAAGACAGATGGGAGAAAGAACTCTCTTGAGTGATGGGCAGATGGTCCTAAGGCAAGTAAAGACTACCTAGAAGAGGCATGTGCTGGCTGGGAATGATGGGAGTTGTGAGCCAACAACCTGGGAGACATCCTGTTGGGAAAGGTTACACTACATCAACAGCAGAGAGTGTGTTTCAAGACACCAGACTTGCTCCCTTTGAGTTGAAGCAGAAACCTGGCATGTTGAAGGGTGTATAACAGACATGGAGATTGAAGGCCTCACTAACAAAAACTGAGCTTGGAGATATTCTATACTATTACAATACTGACTCGTGCAAAATAGGAATATATATTACCTGGAATACGATCCCAGACTCTGGTCTGCTGAATCCTCCTATAAATAGCCACTCTTATTTCCATGATGCCAATTAATGGAACTGCTGCAATGAAAAATAAATATTACCCCCCCCCCCGGTTTTTTCCCTTGAAATTTTAGGGTTCCTTTTCTTTTTCTTGTGTTAAGGAATTACCATTGCTGGAATGAAGCCTGGATGGCAAGACCTGACCTCCCTGTTGGTTTTGGAGGCTGGCAAATTGTGGATAGCACTCCACAGGAAAACAGTGACGGTAGGCGGGTCATTTCTTCCTTACCACATGATCATACACTCATTTTTCTCTTGGAATTCATTATCATATAATGTAACAGAAATATAACTACACCTATATCATACAGTAGTTTCATCTTTTAACTGTTGTAATCTGGCCAGATAATACTTGTTATTGGGAAGATTTAGATGCAATAAATAAATTAATACAAAAATCAAATTTAAACATCCATTTTCTCTTCCAGAGTAGAAAAAGAATTCTACCCACCCTTTGTGCATAAAAGAATCAATATCTTATTCATCCTTTGAGACATGATGATGATTATATGATATGAAATTTTCATTTCTAGTGCTAAGAAAAGATGGAATTTACAATTTCACCAGTCTGAGGAACCTTGATCCGTCTATGCACACACTTTGTGTAGGGGTGGAGAGTTATATTGGTCTGGTGACTGAATGCAATTTTGGAGACACTCTTATGGGCCGCTTTCTAGTGGTAGACAGGGCCAAATGTAAAAGGCCAAGGGTACATCCCAAGAATAGCCTAGCTCAATGCTTTTATTGCCAATCTCCAAGCCTTTGAAGATGTAATCCAGCCTTTCAGAACTGCAGACACTACACAAAAGCCAGGATACTGCCAAATGATCCATAGTTGGGGACAGAGGAGGATGGGTGTGGGAGTTTGGAGAACCTCAGATTGCGATCTGAGGAGAAGCAAAGCTCAGGGCCTGAGTTGAGTTTCCCCATCCCTGACCTAAAGAATGAGTGAATAGCTCTTAACTATGCAGATGAAAGATGGTGATATTTGAAGAGCCAAGGGATCCTTCCTAGTTACAGGCATGAAATCCATATGACCTGAATGGCTGGCTATTTTGTAAGGTCCTACAGGGGCATTTTTCTCTTTGTAAACAGAAACTAACCATGTGAGGCAGGGCAAGCCCCTGTCAGTCAATGGTCTTGTATTCATTCACTTGTGCAGCTTTCCATGGTAAATATGCCATGCCTTCTGCTGAGCGTGGCATGTTACCGTCTTCTTCCCAAATGTGAAGGAAAGCTGAGTGGGGATCATTCCATCCATGGCTCAGTGGCATGGACTCTTCCCAGCTCCAAGGGCAGAAGGAAGGCTCCTGCATTGCTAGATGCTATAAGTTGACCATCTTTTCCAACTCCAAATCTGGAAAGGACTCAGATTGTCCTCTTGGCTGTGGTGGTGCTTTAGAATAGCCAGACCCAGCAACCACCTGGAGCTGTACAGCATTGCGGCAGCTTCCTTGGCTGCTGAATTGTGAGGGCTGCTGGAGTGCTTCCTCTGAAAGGGGGCCAACCAACATGCCCCAACCAAACCCCAAATGAGTAATGGTGGCTTTCTTGGCCAAGCATCAGCAAAACCATCAACCATCTTCTCTTTCCAGCTTGGAGACGGGTAAGGAAATAGGGAAATGTCCCAGGATTCTCTGCAGTGTGAGATTAGTGACCAAGAGTAGGTGGGGTCCAAGTGGCCACAAGGTTTAGCTTGGCTGCCAAGGATGGCCAAAAAGTGTGGACACTGCAGGCCAGGTTCGTCAGAGGCTTTTTGGTCTAATCCAGCGGGACTCTTCTTACGTCCTTAGACAGACCTTACACCAGCAGTAGGCAGCCTGGGCAACCTACCCTCTGGATATTGCTTGATTACAACTCCCATCAACCCTAGCCAACATGGCCACCAATCAGCAATGATGGGAGCTGTAATCCAACACATTTTGCCTAAAACAGCGTTATAGCCACCTTCCCAACAAAGGAAATCAGTGGAAGACTACAGCAAAGAGGGTCAATACAATCCGCACAGAGGATGAAAAGAGGAGATTGTTGAACCCAAGTTGGGGAAAGACTTCCTCTTCATATCTACCACTAGCGGGCCACATTAGATTTCAGCATGTCTATTCAAGGATGCTAGGAAAATATTAAATGCCCTTTCAGAGATGAGCCAAAGGCATGGAAATCAAGCAATATTATACCAAATCTAAGAAGCAATTCAGTCATGCAGAGAAAGACAAAACAAAACTCTCCTGGCTGCTAATGGTAGACAATTAGACCAATTTAACTCCAAAAGAACACCTAGCTTCCTGTCAGCAGTTAAAATTAGTGATGCAGTCTGATCCATTTCAGTCAAAAGGAGTTTTTTCAAGTGACTTTGCTGTAAAATAACGTGAGGATAAGGGTGTTGGATTGGACTGAAGGTGCCCTGTGACCCTCATTTTCTTGGCCACAGGGGCCAACCACAGGGAGCTCACAAGGGCCCATTTTCTATCCCTCGTTTGAACCATGCCCTAAAGATTCGGATTTACAGAGGTGAGGAAGTGGAGGGATAGCCCCATGATCTTTTGCACTTCCTCATACATCCTAAGGCAAACTAAATGTCCTAACTGCAATTTTGTTATGCAAAATGTTTCCTATAGGGCTTTTAGGAAAGAGTACTCTTTTATTACTAGGCCGTATCTTTTCCATTTATACCATCTAGAACCTGAGCAAATGTTAGTTAATATATTCATCTGTAAATACATTTTAGAGTTTAGGTATGTTCTGGAGGTATGTTTTTTCCTCTTTAGGAAAGCAAAGAATAACGGTGTATTGCTATCAAATTACTGCTACCAGGGCCTGCCAGTGTGATATGTATTGACTCTATTTTAATGACATAACCTTTTGGCAACATTGCTTTTTTTGCAATGGCCTCTGGCTGACAGCTGATTGAGTGGATAGGATTAAAAGATCCAAAATGTGAAGGGAACTGGCAAACTGGGCTAGGAGACTGGGTAACCCTACAGAAGCTTCAAGACATGTATCCCCTTTTGGTTCTTCTCATCCAGGCATGTATCGGTGTGGTCCAGCTTCAGTTCAAGCTGTTAAGCATGGACATGTCTGCTTCCAGTTTGATACACCATTTATTTATGCAGAGGTATGAATCTCTCTGAATATTATTTGTCAAATGGCCTTTGTAAGACATTCATATCATTTGTTACAACTTTAATATATTTAAGCTGTCTTTAATTCATTGATGTCCTACTCTTCTTTCAAAATATTTGCAGGGTAGCTTGTAACAAATTTAGGCGCTACTATTGCTCTATGCTATCTGTACTATCTGTACCATGAGTATTGCTACTATTTAACAGTGGCTTGCATCCAGAGTTATGCTGGAGCAACTCCATTGTTGGTGGTTGGTTTCCTCCCCTGCTTCTTCCTACAGCAGCCCCTCCAACCCCCTAAAAACACTACACATAGTTGGGAGACTCCCCTGAATGTAGTGAGCTGCTGTGATGGAGAAGAGGGCATCTCCCAAAGTTTGGTGCAGGGATCTTTTGTGAGTGAAGCTGTTCTTCTTGTGGACTGTCCCTTCCTGTGGCAGAATGCAGATTCTGGATCCCACCCACTCTGTGTTTGGTGCTGCATGAGACCATACAGTTAATCCAGGGCCAGTGAAAAAGACTTGGATGTCTTTATCAAAATGGGCAAAGCCAGGTGAGGAGATCACAGCAACCCATCAGGAAGCTTCCACTGATTGATGGCTTGGGGATCACAGGAGAATTGGACTGGATTATTGCTGCCACTGTTGTATTTCTCATGGTGAGGCAGCTCTTCTTTTAGAGCCTACAGTTTGGTAACCACTTCTACAGAGCTTCTTGAGCCAGCCCAACAGATGACTTCAGGCTTTGTTTGCTTTGTCTACTTCCATTTTGAGGTGAACAGTGATGTCGTCTACTCAAAAGCAATGACAAATGGAACTAGGCTGATTCAGCATATTGACAAGACCCAGATCGGCAGCTTAATCGTGACTAAAGAGGTGGGAACAGATAAGATGAAGGACATCACTGACCAGTACAAATTCCGAGAAGGTAATTTCATGGCAAAACTCAATAATAAATGCATTTATCTAGCCCCGCACAGCTACAGGGTAGCTTCCTTTATGGTCTATTCAGATCAACTTCCCTTGACAACCACTTTGGGACAATCACCCTTCTTCTTTAGAAGCTGGTATAGAATGGAGGCTTTGAACAATGTAAGCAAACAAACTGAGCAGTCTCAAACCATAGTTTCCCATTTTCCCAAACTGGGAAACTCTGGTCAGCAGCTTTGGAACAAGCCGGGAAGTGAAGCCATGGTTTGAAACTGGCTTAATTCCCTGGCTTGTTCTGAAGCTGTTAACCACATTTCAGATGAAACAGGAAATTATCGTTTATTGAAGACTTCCTGGCTTGTTCACTCACACAAAAGGGGCTTCATGTTCTTCCTCAAGTCTTCTCACATCACAGCTTATTGCCTATTTGTCTATTTAGGGTGCAATCCTATGGCCTCTTCACATTGTTGCCAGGGAAGCACGGTCCTATCACTTCAGAGCTGGCACTCTGAATGCATCTTACGTTGTAGGAGTTCCTGACCATTGGCTGTGCCAGCTGGAGCTATGGGGAGCTGAAGGCTAAAACATCCGGAAGGACCTCAGCTTGGGAGAGGTTCATTTAGCCCAACAATGGTTTGCCTATTTTTCAAACTAGATTCCCTTTTCTTTGCAGGCACAGCAGAAGAAAGACTGGCCCTAGAGACTGCCCTGATGTATGGGATCAAAAGGAATATCCCACAGGATGCCATACCCAGTAGAGACATTGAAATGGACTTCCTAGTGGAAGATGCATTACTGGGCAGCAACTTCAATGTCAATGTTACTTTCCAAAACAGTACCGAAAACCACTACACTCTGACATCCTACCTTTCAGGCAACATAGTATTTTATACTGGAGTCCCAAAGGCAGAATTCAAGAACCACAATTTTAAGGTGAAACTGGAACCTATGCAAGGTAAGGAATGCCAAAATGTATAGCTGTGCCTATTCAAAAAGACTCATGTTGGATAAGAAGCAGTAGAGGATTGCCTTCTTGTTTGCTTGCCTGTTTGTTTGAATAATTCATTTATATATGCTTTTATTTGTTGTGTACAGTTTCCTGGGATCCCTGATAAATATAGGGTGATTTATAAATATTACAAAGTTGCCAATAATACACATACAATAACAAAATCAAGAATAAGCAGAGTCGAGCCTGGTTGAAATCTGGATGGGTGACTTAAATGTTATATATGAATAATTAGAATTAGAATTATATTTAAATTATTATAATTATTAAAGTAGTTAAAATGTCTAGAAATAGTAGCAAAAAAGGGACAACAGCAGCAAAATGATAGAAACAGAGTGATTAGCTAGTGCTAAAACTGATTAGCCTTCACCTGGTGCCATGTGGATTTTTGGGGCAGACCATTGCAGAGGTTCAGAGCCACTCCAGCCGCCCCCCCCCTTAATTCTAGAAAGTGGTGGGTGGGGCTCCAAGAATGATGGCTTGACTAAATTGGATTAGTGCATATGGGAATAGCTGCTCCTTCAGAAATCCAGGGCAAAGACTCCTTTGGCTTTGTAGCTCGGAGTCCGCAAGGCCAGTTCCAGACTCAAAAAGTTGACTAATGTTGTCCTGCTGCATGAGGTTTGCAGCACTAGAAATAGAAAGTGCTCTGAGTGGTAGAGCCATGTTGGGTACCATCAGATCTGGTCTCAACCTGGGAAAAAAAAAGGAACACATTTGCATATACTAATTGATGTAGACTCTAAAATTTCTATCTGTGCATGTGTGCACGTCTGTGTGTGTGTGTGTGTGTGTGTGTTTAAAGAACCCTGTCTCCTAAGGACCTCTATTTGTAAAAATAGACAGGACAGGAGAAGTAATTTTATTTCAGCAAACCAGCAAGTGAGCAAGCAAACCTTCAAGCAGAAAGATTCAAGGAGCTGTTGCAACAGGAAGTGAAGCACAGGTGGGGAAAAGCCAACAAATCCAGGGGAAATCAGATGCAGCAGAGATCATCAGTGTCCTAGCACCTTTGTTATTTATCTGTTTGATTTATATGCCACCTGATTAGCCACAGGCTTCCTGGGCGGCTTGCATACAATCAAACACAGAAATATCAACAATGCAATAAAACAATAATATCAATAAAATGAATAGCAGGAAAATAACTAATTAGAAGAAAATAAATTAAATATATAATACAAATAAGTAACTAATATTATAATTCAATAGATAAATAATCAAATTTTGATTTTGCAAATACCCATGAGTGACAGGGTGGTGGGGCCAATGACCATCCAGAAGGTTTGGGACTCTGGAGCCCCTGCCCTCATAGGTCTTCCCCTGTCATTGCCTCTGGCTGCCCATTTTAGTTGCCCCCCAAAGCCTTTTCCCTTTTTATAGCCTTTGCAGTGGGTGGGCGGCTGGGTGGGTTGAAGGGGAAAGTGGCTGGCTTGTGGAGTTATCCTGATCAGCTCCCCAAATGCTTACATTAAGGTAAGTGAAGGGATGTGGACCAGATGCATTCTCGCCATTTAGGTAATTCTGCCCTGAGTCTTGCTCCTAAGCCTCACCACATTCATAGTCTATACATGCAGGGCAGTGTGTGAACTTGTGATGTGTTGGTGAGCTCCTTAGATAAGCTTTCAATGAGACTGCTCCGCAGTGTGCATTTGTATTGCACATGTGTTCGTGCTCTTATGAACGGAGGTACACAGAAGGGGGAGGCTGTTGAGATGCCTACAGAAGCGGGGATCCTCAGCTACTCCACCTTTTGTTTTGAGGTTTATAGGAGCTATCCATGGTGCTCCATGGTGGTGGGGATGGAGTTCAGCATCATGGATGCCTCTTGTAAAGCTGAAAAGAAAGCTGCAGTGGCTAAGATGTGCCACTGAGACGTTGCATATGAAGTGTCACTCCCACCAACACAGCAGGTATCCGATCAGAAAAGGGGTCCGTGACCCTCCAAATTTTGATTCAAGGGGTTGCATAGGAAGAAAACAACTTTGGGGATCTGCATAATTTAAGTGTCTTCAAAGGGACTACCAATTCTATATTGTTCGGTTTAGCTTGTGAAAGGAGGGGAGATGGTTCCATCAGGGGACCATTTAGGAGAGAAGAAGAGGCCAGTAGTGTCTTGGCTTGCAAACGTATTCCAGACCTCATGAAACCAAAAGAAAATACAACTGATGTATTTGTGTAGAAAAGCTCATAGAATGGTTAGAACTGCAAACTTGATCTTTCCCTTTTTGCTCACACTCTTTTTCAAATTGTAAAATAATTTGCCTATCACAGAACTAAGTTCTCTCTTTCTCTCTCTTTCCCTTGGTTGCAATGGCTGTTCCTGAGTTTTATCTGAGGTTAAGACTTAAGGGCATGTTGTGTAATTCCTTTGCAGCACAGGGGTCAGTTCAAACAACTTCTGACAGGTCTTGGAAATCCGGGTCAGATGGTTGCCAGGGAATAGTAAGAAGAATGAAAGCCAGGGCTCCGTTTTGATGTAGTTGCACCAAAAGGAGGAAACGCAGCATATCTTTTTCACATGTGGGAAAAAGTGAGGTGTTAGAATATTGGCATTGCCAAATGAAACAAAAGCAAGGCAGGCGTGCAAAAGCTCAAATTTATTTTCATGGCTATCTGCTCTGTATTTCCTTTCCTCACCACCAAGCAGCCAAACCCAAATGGAGCAGTTTTTTAGTAGGTTTCATTAATTCTGATGATGTTTTATTAGGGCTAGAGTCACTTCATAGCTTTAGCTGAAGCTCCTTAGGGCAGCCAGCTCTAAAAGAGGACATGGCTTCTCTAGTTGAAGTTACACCTGCCGCAATGGCATGCAGGCTACATCTGCCGAAAATCCTCCTCCTACAGAACTATTGTAGGATTAGGAGCCATGTCCAGTCTTGCCGCTGGTCCACCTGATGCTGCTAGGTGGAAGGACAAAGTTCTGGAGTACTTCCAAGCCTCTGTTGTAAGAGGAAACTGGAAATGCTTTTTGTAGTTGGAAATTGGCAGAAAGCCCTGCAATGCCCACGTGTTTGGTTGGAGAAAGCCACTCCTGTTGTGGGATACTGGTGCAACCGTTCTCTCAAATGCCCATTAGAGGCTGCTTACAATGCCAGTCTTTTTCAGGCAGACGAGGAAGCGATGCAAAACCAACGATTGCAAGAAATCTTCATTAGCAAACAGGTTTTCTCATTCCCCAGCACAATTTGAATAGATGTGGTGTTCTTTGGTCAGAAGCTATTCAACATCTTAATTAATAAATCAGCATGCTCCTTGAAATTAATCATCTTCCACTTACTCCAGAGTAAATACAGCTAACCTGTTGTGCTCTTGTGAATATGTATTACATACAAGTGCAATCGGAGGGAAGGGGATTACTCTCAGCTTGGCTGCAATGATTTAGGCTGTAATCCTAAATGGACTTGCAAAGGGGTAAGTCCCATTGAACTTAGCGGTGGCTTCTTTTGAGTAAATATATTTTGGACTGCACTGTTATAGCATTCATCAGTGCCAGAAGCTGCACGTTCAAAGGGAAAGAGAAGGATCCTGGTTACAGTTGCTGCTGGTCTGCATGAACCAAGAGGGAAGAAGACAGGAATAGCATCCCAAAACTAGAATTGTGTGCAAATGGCCCATCTGAATTCTCCACTTGGTTTGTCCAACGGTTTCCCAGGGGTGGCCACTAGTTGTCAGCATAAGCATTAGCCTAGCTGTTGTGGGGGGTCTTCCTTCCTCTTTTCTGCTCTAGCAGAATCCAGTGAGGATTTAGCAGCACAGTCCTTTTATTAAAGCTTCACAGGTTACACAAAAGTATCAATCAAATAGTGGAGGGTTTCCTCAATATGGGAAGAAGCATCTGCCCATGTAAGGAGCTGACTCTAAATAAAAACCTCCTCTTCTTCCCTCCCTTTTAGAAGAGTTTGTGACCCTGCTGTCAGGGTGGTTCTGGATACTTGAGGGCTAGATAGCAAAATGGTCCATTTACTGTCAACTGGCCCATTCACTTTGCCTGTCATCTCCTTACAATAGCCTTGCCCAACTTGGCAGGGGGTTGAACTATAACTCCCAGCATCCCCAACCAACATGAAATAGTAGCGACCACACAGAAAAACAAATGTTTCAAGAATTTTGTTGTTGTTAGTCACGAAGTCACGTCCGATCCATCGCGACCCATCGTGAATGGACAAAATTCCTCCAGGGTCTCCTGTCCTCCACCATCCCCTGGAGTCCACTTAAGCTCACACCAACTGCTTCAGTGACTCTTATCTAGCCACCGCTTCAAGAATATCTGGTGTAAATTCAGTGCAGCAGTCTTTTTTCTCAGGAGGGCAGGGGAAAATAAAGAGCCATGGAGTTTTTCCTCAAAAAAGCAAAACATCTTTTGATAAGGTTTGGCTCAGCAATGCCTAAAACAGCAAGCGGAAATATTTTTTGAATGAAATGATTACTGTGTGAGGGCCTGTTGTTTTCCTGTTTCTAATTATTCTAGCAGCGGTGAGGGCAAGCACCTTTACCTGTATGGATGGAAGTGATCTTAATGTTTTAGATTAATCCAAGTCCCCCAACATCAGTAGCACATTTGTATTGCAGCTGGGAGGGAAAAGGAGCAGGAAACTGGGCACCGCTCAAACAGTGGAAGCTTGCTTGTGCCTCAGAAAATTTGGTCCTCTTTGCAACAGCAGCTTATTGCATATGATGGCCGGTGGGTATGATGAATTCATCAGGCCTGGAAGAAATAACTGGACTTCAGGCTTCAGTTGTGTTTCTCTGTTTGTTTCTCCTGACAGCTCAAACTGTCAAGGTGTTAATCCAGTCAAGCGAGTACATGAGCCAGTTGGTGGAACAAGCCAACTTGCATTTCTTCGTCACGGCCCGTGTCAACGAAACAGAAAAGATTCTGGCCCAGCAGAAGAGTGTTGCCCTGAAAATCCCACAGCTGCTCTTGAAGGTCAGTTTCAGGGATATTGCCCAACAAGCAAAGAGAATGATAAAGTTACTCCAATTCTGAGTGTATCATGTGACTTAGTCTGTCTTGCTCCCTTGGCCGCATTTTAGTCATATTTACCCTCACAGGCATAGATCAGCCTCCTGATCCTTTTGATACAGTGGGCATATTTAGAATTTTGTTTGTGTGTCATGGCTGCTCTCACAAAAGGGCTGCCAGGACACGTGTGCCCATTTATAAAATGGCTCCCATGTGTTGCATCCTGTCACAAAACACTCATTTCCCAGAAGGGAAGCTAGTGGGACTAAAAGAAAAGTGAGTTCAGAATGAAGATTCTAAGTACAAGGCAGAGGTGAGGCCTGAGCTCCAATGGATTTCAAAATCCATTGTTTTGAAATGAAATCAAGATGGTGCTGGAGGGAGGGAAAGCCTTCTCTTTGCAGCCTCCCAGTTAAAGAAATCTCTGTTTATTATGTGGATTTTCTGAGAGAGGCAAAGATGTTCCTGCCGGCCCAAACAGTAAAGCTGCCAGCCCTCACTTGGATCTGTTCATTGTTTAGCCACAATGCTTCTGGGGAGCACCAGGTTGGGGAAGGTTGTGCTCAGGGGTGCTGAAGTGCCTACACCCCTTGTCCAGACAACCGTGGGACAGGCATGTACTGCAGCAAAAGGTGCAACAATGGGATGGAAACCCAAACTAAAAATAAAGAGAGAGGAAATTGGTGGAAAAGAGCTTTCTCTCCTCAACCACTGCTGCTTGTTTGAAAAGTTCTCCTCCAGTGGCCCCATCTTTTGTGTATCTAATTAACTGGGGCAACTGTTTATCAGCAGTGTCCTCAAATAAGATTACGTCTTTTCCAAGCATTCCTCAGAGGAGGTCAATAAGTAAAATAAACGTTGCTTCAAGCACATATCTTCAATAACCACATTTTAAAAATGTATAATCCTTTCAATTCTTTGCCAGAGCCGAACAGCGGAGCCCAGCTTGCCTGGGTTAAAAACCTCCTAAATTACTTAGGTGTTCCTTTCTGCTGTGAAGCAGGAATATTAAACATGCAGGAGGCAGGCCCCACTGAAAGCTGTATACATTCTGGAAGTTGAGATTATGCCTTGTATTGCTTTTTTAAATTCATGGAAGTTTATCGGATTTTTAAAATATCAAAACCCCACACAGCACAAAGCCAAAAACTGTATTACAGCAATTCTGTTTTATTAGCATGATATTTCTGAAGGAAGCAGCTGGTGACCAGGATGACATCGCTTGAATGCAGATGTCTGCCAGCTGGCTGAACCTTCATCTGTATTTCGGTCAAACTTTTCGTGGCTTCCTCAAGTGGGTTCTTTTGGAAATGTTCAAATTGTACCGCCTGTTTGTTTCTGCATGTACTTTTTAGCTTTGAGAAAAGCAAATGACCACTTTGAAGCCCAGATTTTAAGCCTCCAAGGAAGGAAGGAAGGAAGGAAGGAAGGAAGGAAGGAAGGAAGGAAGGAAGGAAGGACAGACGGAAGGGTGGATGGAGTGGGCAACTGTATCTGGTGCAACTGCAGTGCTAGTGGAAGTGAACACTAGTGCAATGAGGAAATAGTGCTTGCTCGTGCAACTGGAAACTGGTGCTTCCAGAAGGGGACAGGCTAGCACAGCTCACAGAAGAGGACTACTGCCCTGTGCTTACAGGACAGCAAAAGCCCCCTACCATCTAGGACAGCCCCCTTAGTTACTGAGGACAGTATGCCTCCATTCCAGGCACCCTGCATGGCTTCTCCACGTCTTTCTGAGGCTCGTGAAGACAGTCTGATCCTAGCTTTGCCATTCCTGGTGCACTCAGGTTGGTGAATCAGATCCACCCATTTAATGTGCTCTGGCAGGATCTCGTTTTGTCCATGTCCTTCCATCACTGCTCAAATTATAGGAAGATGGGGAGAGGGGGTCCCCTTATCTCTCATGACCTACTCTTTTGGTTAAACTGGGGGGAACCGGGGGGTAAGGCTGGTGGTTGTCGCTCAAGCACCCTTACTCTTTTACCCATAATTCAAGCAAAGTGAATCTCCCTGGATTCTGTGGCCACTTTCGCCATTTCCATTCCCTTTGCTTTCCAGAGGTCATTATCAGTGGTGCTGAAATACATGTTGGGACACCCCACTGGAGGCATGGACTTGGTTTTAGTTTATGGACTGGAGCGCAGCTAGCATGGCACAGAGGGAGGTGTGCTGAGATGCCCTGTCCTGCAATGCTCCCTTGCTGCCAAGGTGATCACGTTAGCAGAGTAACTGGGAGAAGGGCAGTCTGCCTTGCCCTGAGACTCTCTGTGGATCGGCTAGATCAGGGACCCGCTGTGTAGATATTCATTTTCACAGGACGCGTTACTGCCTGAGGCTAATGGTGCCTATGAAGCCAAGATCAGTTTCTCCTTTTCAAATATGAAAGGAATATGAATAATGTTCCCTTCGGTCGTGAGGCCTAGGAAACCATTTGTTTTAGAGAAGGAAATTATTTCTGGCATTCCTACATTCTTTGTTTAAATGAGTTATTAGGTATTTCTGAGCATGTGGGAAGGTAAGGAAAGCTGAATAAAGGGGTGTGCAAGGAACCTGTTTAGCGTTGAAAATTCATCCATTATGTTGGGTTTGGCTCCCTGGACTCTGGTCTACTTTGACTTGGCTATGAGTCCCAGCATTTGTGTGGTGGTCACCAAAGATCAAGTCTTGCGTGAAAGCTGCACATGTGGCAGCGTTCCACGTCCTGTTCAGCAGCCTCTGTTTTCACACATGACGTGGCGCATGAAGTGGAAGAAGGTCTCTAGTTGTGCAACCTTCATGCTGTGAAAGTTCCCTTTCTAAGTCAGGGCTGAGCATGAGAGAAAGTCCCCAAGAGCAAGAGAGGTGGACTCTGCAGAGCTTTGCCACAGCCCCATCTGAATGCAAAGGCTGCGTTCAGACATAGTGCTAAATCAGAGGTGGGGAATCTCAGGCCAACAGACGAGAGGTTCTAATCCAGCCCTTGGGTTTCCCAGGTACCCCGTTTCTCCTGACCCCTGATCCTTTGGTGGCCCTCTGGCTTTTGTGCATTCTCTCCACCCATTCTAACGGTTCGATACCTTTCCTAAGGTTTGTTACTGGTGTTAAAAGCTTCAAACTACAATATAATAGCATTTTCTTTTCATTTTTTACCCCTGTGTTAAACCATGGTTCAGTCTTCCCAGAATGAAGCTTCTGTTTCTTTTCAGACTAACCACAGTTTAGTGTACTAGCTAAACAATAGTTTCTCTTAACTGTGGTTTGTGAAAGTAAGACAGCTCTCATTTGTGGTTGGCTTGTTTCCACTATTCAGAACTAAGGCTGACCACAGTATGACAAATTGTGGTTAATCTAAAATAGACATGGACATTTTTGTACTCCTCTTTGTGGGCATGCCAGAATAGGGAGTGGGCTAAGGAGAGATTAGCCTCTTTCTCATAGCTCCAAACCAAGCTTGCTCTCATAATGCCAAACAATGACTGGTCACTGCATCTGAACTGTCCTCAAGTCAACATTTCTGGGCTGCATTTCTGTTTCAAGTGCAGGTTACCCACAGAATTCAGTGCACACTTAATGACCAAATCCCATTTTCATAAAGCTGGGGGTAAATCCTGTGTGAGCGAGCATGGTGCAGCAGTTAAGAGCACGGGACTGGGGCTCAGGTGATCTGGGTTCTCGTCCCCGCTCGGCCATGGCATCTACTGGGTGACTTTGGACCAGGCACAGAAACTCAGTCCAACCCACCTCGCAGGGTTGTTGCGGCAAGGAGAGCAGGAAGAGGAGTATTATGTAATCTGCCTTTACTTCTTTGTAAGAAAAAAAGGCGGGATATAAATCTAACATATACGTAAATCCAAAATACTGCCAACTACTTTCCATGGAGCAACTTTCTCATTCAGTTGAGAGAAGACTATGATCCCTCTCTTAAAAAAATAAAGTCCTAGGAGAGAGAAATCAAGATTTAATATAATTCATAAAATCCTAACAAGCATTGGCTGAATTGGTTCATTCTCGTGTGTTAAGATAAATGTGACATACCACAGATGTTTTCATGAATTATGCATTGTGTGGCACGGTGGGGGTTTTGTTCCTTTCCTTTTATTTTTAAAGTGCTAATTCCTTGTGTCCCTCCCAGGCAAAAGGCTCCATCCATTCCCTGGAGACTTTGCCGCAATGATGGCTATGGCTGCCACGCAGCTCCCATTAAAGTCTAATCGCAAAGCTTTCCCCTTCTCTACAGCAGGGAAGGCCAGCTTGAGCTGCCTTACTCTTGACTTTTGTAGGCTCAAGGTGAGAGTGGAAAGTAGCTTTTATTCTATAGTGATTTCTAGGGCTGGTGATAGAAGCAAAGGGCCATCAGCTCTTGCCCTGACACAACAAGAGAAATCTACAGCTAGGTGCTGGCTTTCCAGTTCATTCAGATGCAGGGACACATCTGGAGGTGTGCATCACATCTGCAATGCCATCGAGGTCTGTGTTCTCATGGACCATCTTGATGTACCTTGGATGCAGATGAGGATGGAGATGCACAGCCCCATTCAAGGTGACTGACTCTTTGTGCATCATGTTCAACGGTGCTGGTTTAGGACCCCTTTACTCTGCTTTGTTGTTGTTAGTCGCAAAGTTGTGCCTGACCCATCGCGACCCCATGGACAACACTCCTCCAGGCTCTCCTGTCCTCCACCATCTCCCAGAGTCCACCCAAGCTCACACCAACTGCCTCAGTGACTCCATCTAGTCACCTCATCCTCTGCCGTCCCCTTCTTCTTTTGCCATCTATTGTTCCCAGCATTAGCGTCTTCTCCAGGGAGTCCTTCCTTCTCATTAGGTGGCCAAAGTATTTGAGTTTCATCTTCAGGATCTGGCCTTCTAAAGAGCAGTCAGGGTTGATCTCCTCTAGGACTGACCAGTTTGATCACCTTGCTGTCCAAGGGACTTGCAGAAGTCTCCTCCAGCACCACAATTCAAAGGCCTCAATCCTTTGGTGCTCAGCCTTCCTTATGGTCCAGCTTTCACAGCCATACATTGCAACTGGGAAAACCATAGCCTTGACTATACACACTTTGTTGGCAGGGTGATGTCTCTGCTTTTTAGTATGCTGTCTAGATTTGCCATAGCTTTCCTCCCCAGGAACAAGCATCTTTTAATTTCTTGGCTGCAGTCCCCATCTGAGGCGATCTTGGAGCCCAGGAAAATAAAATCTGTCACTACCTCCATTTTTCCCCCACCTATTTGCCAGGAAGTGAGAGGACCGGATGCCATGATCTTAGTTTTCTTAATGTTGAGTTTCAAGCCAACTTTTGCACTCTCCTCTTTTACCCGCATCAAGAGGCTCTTTAGTTCCTCTTCACTTTCTGCCATGAGAGTGGTATCATCTGCATATCTGAGGTTGTTGATATTTCTCCCAGCAATCTTAATTCCAACTGGTGATTCATCTAACCCCACCTTTCTCATGATGTGCTCTGCATACAAGTTAAATATATACAGCCTTGCCGAACTCCTTTCTCAATTTTGAACCAATAAGTGGTTCCGTGTCCAGTTCTCACTGTTGCTTCTTGACCCGCATATAGGTTTCTCAAGAGACAAATAAGATGGTCTGGTACTCCCATCTCTTTAAGAACTTGCCAAAATTTGTTGTGATCCACACAATCAAAGGCTTTAGCATAGTCAATGAAGCAGAAGTAGATGTTTTTCTGGAACTCCCTAGCTTTCTCCATGATCCAGCGTATGTTGGCAATTTGATCTCTAGTTCCTCTCCCTCTTTGAAATCCTGCCTGTACTTCTGGTAGTTCTCGGTCCACATACTGCTGGAGCCTAGCTTGTAGGATTTTGAGCCTAACTTTGCTAGCATGTGAAATGAGTGCAATGGTGCGGTAGTTTGAACATTCTTTGGCGTTGCCCTTCTTTGGGATGGGAATGTAAACTGACCTTTTCCAATCCTGTGGCCACTGTTGAGTTTTCCAGATTTGCTGGCATATTGAGTGTAGCACTTTTACTGCATCGTCTTTTAAGATTTTGAATAGCTCAGCTGGAATACTGCCACCTCCACTAGCTTTGTTGTTGCTCAGACTTCCTAAGGCCCATTTGACTTCACATTCCAGGATGTCTGGCTTGAGGTCAGTGACCCCAACCCCCTTGTGGTTATCAGGGATGTTAAACTCTTCTTGTATAGTTCTTCTGTGCAGGGCTTTTTTTGTCACAGGACACACCGGAACAGCATTCCGGCACCTTTTCTTCCAATGGATTTTACGAAGTGATTTTGAATCGTAGCAGATCAGCAGCAAACATCATTAACATAGTGTCTGCAGGCTGCTTTTGTGTCTGCTATCTGCTATCTAATAGTGAGATAGTGAGAGCACTGCTCTCAGCTTGGGGCTCTGCTCTGCTGCTCGGCTTGGGATTGGTGTGTGTGGTCGTGCACTTACTGCTGGCAACATGAGTTCTGGCACTTTTTTTTTTTTTTTACAAAAAAAGCACTGCTTCTGTGTAATCTTGCCACCTTTTCTTAATCTCTTCTGCTTCTGTTAGGTCCCTGCCATTTTGGTCCTTTATCATGCCCATCTTTGCATGAAACGTTCCCTTCATATCTCCAATTTTCTTGAAGAGATCTCTGGTCCTCCCTATTCTATTGTTTTCTTCTATTTCTTCGCACTGTTCATTTAAGAAGGCATTATTATCTCTTCTAGCTATTCTCTGGAATTCTGCATTCAGTTAGGTGCATCTTTCTTTTTCTCCCTTGCCTTTCGCTTCCCTTCTTTCCTCAGCTATTTGTAAAGCTTCCTCAGACAGCCATTTTGCTTTCTTGCATTTCTTTTTCTTTGGGATGGTTTTAGTTGCTATCTCTTGTACAATGTTGAAAACCTCCGTCCATAGTTCTTCAGGCACTTTGTCTATCAGATCTAATTCCTTGAATCTATTTGTCACCTCTACTGTATATTCATCAGGGATATGATTTAGGTCATACCTGAGTGGTCCAGTGCTTTTCCCTACTTTCTTCAATTTAAGCCTAAATTTTGCAACAAGAAGCTCATGATCTGAGCCACAGTCAGCTCCTGGTCTAGTTTTTACTGACTGTATAGAGCTTCTCCATCTTTGGCTGCAGAGCACATAGTCAATCTGATTTCTGTGTTGACCGTCTGGTGATGTCCATGTGTAGAGTTGTCTCTTGGGTTGTTGGAAAAGAGTGTTTGCTATGACCATCATATTCTCTTGACAAAATTCTACCAGCCTGTGCCCTGCTTCATTTTGTACTCCAAGGCCAAACTTGCCTGTTATTCCAGTTATCTTTTGGCTTCCTACTTTAGCATTCCAATCCCCCATGATGATAAGGACATCACTTTTTGGTGTTAATTCTAGAAGGTGTTGTAGACCTTCATAGAACTGGTCAACATCAGCCTCTTCAGCACCAGTGGTTGGGGCATAGACTTGGACTATTGTGATGTTGAATGGTTTGCCTTGGATTTGAACTGAGATCATTCTGTCCTTTTGGAGATTGTATCCCAGTACTGCTTTCCTACTCTTTTATTGACTATGAAGGCTACTCCATTTCTTCTGAGGCATTCTTGCCCGCAGTAGTATACCTGATGGTCATCTGAATTAAATTCACCCATTCCTGTCCATTTTAGTTCACTGATTCCTAAGATGTCGATGTTCAGTCTTGTCATCTCTTGTTTGACCACATCCAGCTTGCCTTGATTCATGGATCTTACATTCCAGGTTCCTATGGAGGATAGATCTTTGCAGCATTGGACTCTCCTTTCACCACCAAATACATCAGCAACTGAGTATCCTTTCGGCTTTGACACAGTTGCTTCATTATTTCTGGCGCTACTAGTACTAGCCCTCCGCTCTTTCCTAGTAGCGCATTGGACACCTTCTGACCTGAGGGGCTCATTTTCCGGTGTGATATCTTTTTGCCTTTTGGTACTGTCCATGGGGTTTTCCTGGCAAAGATACTGGAGTGGGTTGCCATTTCCTTCTCCAGTGGATCACGTTTTGTCAGAGCTCTCTGCTATGACCTGTCCATCTTGGGTGGCCCTGCACGGCATAGCTCATAGCTTCATTGAGCTATGCAAGCCCCTTTGCCAAAACAAGGCAGTGATCCATGAAGGAGTTACTCTGCTATGCAGGGACAAAAGAATCCTCTGTGCTGAAAAAGTGTGTGAGCTACACACACGGTTCTTTTAGGGGGCACCAAAGCCACTTTCCAGAGTTGTGGCTTCTTGTAATATCCTGCTGCCAACTGCCACTGCTGGGTCCATTGGAGGGAGAGGAAGCAGTAGGTGTTTAGATCCAGCTCCACTATCTGCTGAACTTTTGCAGCTAAGAATCTGGTACCTGAGTTTGCTTTTTATCTCCTTCATCCCAGCTCCTATTCCTTTGGTGTTGTGTCTCTTAGTGAGAGGGCAGAAATTGTTTAATTTCTGAACTCTGAAAAAAGCTGTTCTGAGAACCTTGGCTGAAAAGTGGGGTAAAAATGCTTTGAATGAATGAACTAACGAATAACTGTTTGTTTAATATACAAGCAGAGCATATTGTGAGCAAATGAGTCTCCTAAAAGAAGGCACTGCTAAGTTTATGCACTTCTTTGGCATAAGTGTATTGGTGAGCAATACCATGGACATTTAAACACCACCCTGAAACTCAAGACCTTGTTTAGTTAAAACTTTGAGTTCCTCACTTAGCAATTCCATCTGTGTTCGAAGGTTCTCAAACTGTGCTTAGTTCACATTTAGCAATAGGACTTATGTAATATTTATTTATTTCTGGTTTTTATCGGACTGTCTTTCAGGGATTAACTATCCTGACAAGGCTCACAATGCATGACAAAAGTAACATACATTATGACACATTGCAAACCATTAAACTGCACTCTATAACCACAAGAACATCTAAATGTATTGTATCAGCAGCTGCTATATCATATCAGCAGGAAGATAATATGAATGTGAAAAACAAGCAGCAAAATGCAGAAGAGTTGAAACTACCATTAGCAGTCTGTAACAACCTCATGTCTTCTGAGCCTGTTGCAAAATCATTAACATGGAGGCCATATGTACCTTTTTGGGGAGGGAATTCCATATTTCAGAAGCATGGAACCACCAATGAAAAGACCCTATCTGGGGTGCCTGAAAATCTAATAATTTTTGAAAGTGGGCATATAAGCAAGGCCTCAGAAGTAAATGCCAACACCCAGGTAGGTTTGTATCAGTGCAAATAACTTGATTCCAAATTGTCCAGCAGTTTAATTTGGGCCTGAAAACCAATACAAAATAAAAGTGAATAGATGTTTTCTCCCACAAGCAACAGGACAACTTCATTCTGCACTCCCTGAAGCTTCCCAGCTGTTCTCAAAACCAACTTTGTACTCTGTGGGCACATAACCAGGACACATATGATAGAAGTTCACTGCATGCTGACTGGAGACAGTGGAAGTTGTAGCTCCACATATCTGGTTGGAAAACTGCAAGCATTTTGTTACCTGATTTTGATTTGTATTCTTTTGGAAGGTTCCTGGTGAGAAAGTCGTGGGGAAGGAAATGCTAGTACTGCTGGAGTTCACCAACCCACTGAAACAGAACCTCACTGACGTCTGGGTCCGGCTTGATGGGCCTGGCCTGTTGAAACCAACCTCAAAGCATTTCAAGTAAGGAGAATATTCCTGTTTATAATAGCACTGGTTTCCCAGATGGGGTGTTGGAGCAATAGCAACACTCACATGGACACCAAGTGTGGGATACCTTCTTGAGATCATCTGAATTTGAGGCCTTCAACATGTTGCTTGTGGACCTTTCCTTTGATACCTGCCATTCCCCTGCTACTCCTTCTTTTTTTTCTTAGGTAGATTTCGTATTTTTAAATAAGATACTGGAATACTGCAGAATTATTTTAAACCCTGTTGAATAATAATTTGCATGGAATTCTGAATTGGTAAAATTCCAGGCCTTTCTCTGAAACTAGGAGAACTAAAAACTGCCTTTTCAAAGAGGTTTTTTAAAAAAACTAAGACTTGCCCACCAACCAAGATCATTTTCAGAAGCCTTCCTGAATGTTCCCCAAACCATTGAGGTACATCTAGCTGGGATCATCGACATGGCCCTTTTGGTGGTTGCACCTAGGATCTGGAACTGCTTTCCAAGAGGGAGCCACTAGACTTCTTTATAAATAATCTTCCGATGGGCAGTAGATACCTTCCTTTTTAGGGAGACATTTAGTAGATAATTTAAATCATCCTGTTTTAGTCTCTTTTTCTTTTCTCTTTTGGGCATTTGAAATATTTGCTTAGCTGGGTTGCATTATTAGATTCCTACTACTCTAGGAATTTAATGGATTTTTTTTTTCACTGAACTATTACTGACTTCATTGTAAGCTGCCTGGAACTCTTCAGAGATAATATAGGGTGTACATGTTTTAAAATAAACTAGCAAATAAATAAAACAAGGCTAACCAAGTTTTCATTTGACTGGATAGAAGTGGTATATTTTACTCCTAGAAAACAACTCATTGCAGATTATTTAAATATTAATCCCGCTTGACTCCATGTTTTGAAGATGATAAATGATAGATCTGCGTTGATGGCTTAGCACATTACTGAGAATCATCCATCACTAAGTCTACTCCAGGCAAATGGAATTAGTTGAATTTTATTCCATTACAAAAAAATTAAAATAATGTTCTTTTCCTCTGGGATGTAGGCTTGGTTTTCTTTAATTATCTCAGACCAGGGCCCACTAGAAGTGCCGCCTCCAGTCCTCTGCAATGGAGCTTTGTTTTCATTGTTAAATGAGATTGCTGAAGACCACTTTTAAGCCACGCTGACAAAGGCATTTCTTGCCACGTTGCTAGGATTGGGTGGCTTGGACTTTGGTATGCTTCAGCACAGAGCAGAAACATTTTCAAAATGGATTACCATTAAGAGATATCAATGATAAAAAGGCCAGGCTAGGTATGATTCATTTGATGGGGATAGAGAGTCCCCCACCATAGGTTGAATCCAGATTTATATCAGATCAATCGTGCTGGTGGAAGTGGAAGTTTGCAAGTTTGCCCTTGCAGGCCCTGTGAGTGCTACAAAGAGCCAGGAAGCCCTTCTGACTGGGGTGACCCGTGGCATGGTGTGGCGTGGCCGCAGAGGATCTCCAAAAATTGGACAGAGGGGCCAACTTCTCACAAAAGGAACATCCTGGACCAATTGTGTGTGTGTGTTTTCATGAAGTTAAAAACATTTATATTCAGACTGGGACCCTACAACAACGCAGGATGGTACCTAACCCTTTCCCTGGCATCATTTTTCTGATAGCATCCCTCTGAAGGTGGTGTTTTCCCTGTGCAGGGAAACAGGTGTGGAATAAAGAGCAGACTTAGATCAGGAAAATGGCACTGGAGCACACGGGGACCCTCTTTCCCAGCACCACAGCCCTGATCTTCTACAGCTACTTTAAACATAAAACAAGCAAGAGCTCATGTTCAGGGCTTGTCCAACTGTAACCTTTCCTTGGTCAACAGCTGTGAATTCTGTTGAGATGTCCTGATGGTCTAGTCATTTTTAAGGGTCCAACTTCACAATTTTGATTAGGGTATTCCTTTAAAAGTTAACATTAAACTATCTTTGCTGCTGCCAGGGTGCCATGTATTGGATGGCTGACTATGTTCTCCCTCTTTGCAGAGAGATTCCAAAGAATTCAACCTTGAACATGGAAGAGAAATGCATTCCCAGGCGGGCTGGAGCTCGGAAGCTGATTGCAAGCTTGAATTGTGATGCCTTGCGACATGTCTATGGAGAACTGGACATCAATATCCAGAATGCTGCATAATGATTTTTCTTTCTTCTTCCATTCCTTAGCCTCACCCTCAAACTCAGTCTTTTAGGAATTTTATTACTGGAAACCTTAGTCATACTCCCAAGGGCTATAATCCAGAGGTTGTACATGCATACATTCTGTGCATATACGTGAATTACTGTTCTTTGTATCTTACTTTTCAGTAGCTGCTTTTGCTTTTGTAGCTTTCTCACCTTGTAGCCTGGACTCACTTTTTTAATCACTCCTTTAACACACACACACACACATATGGCACAATGCATTGGGAATTCTTTTTATGTCCATCCCAGCAAGATGCAGGTGGGTAGGAAGTTAGAGTAGCTGGATTCTCTGTATATGGGGCCCTTACTTTGTGGACTATTTTCTTTGTCTAGATTTAACCCTGAATTGGTTATATGCATCGAACAAAAGGAGGTAATTGGATTCCAACAAAAACCACAATGCAAGACAGAGAAAATTAATCAGCATAGATAATGGAGTGGCAAATCATATCACTACTTCTTGTTCATATGATACTCCACACTTCTGAAGCTGAGACAGAAGCCACAGTGTGCAATAAAAATGCATTTTTTAACTAAGTAGACATTATCTCAGAACAAGCTTGCCAGTTGGCAAGTTGGGCTTGGTTGCACAAGCAAGTTTTAAACTTTTGGGTCTTCTTGCACACCTTCAGGACAAGTGAGTTCCTAGAGTTCAAAGCCTTTTGAAAATTATGGCTGATATGAAGAGGACACTGCAAGTTGAATGAGAAAGAATGGTGCCCTCTTCTCATTTTGAAAAGGCATTGATTCATGCTTTATTTCAATGGGTCTCACTTCTATTAGACATATAGGTAGAGGTAGGTGAATTTCAAAAGTCCCTCTTCCTATGATCAAAGCCACATCATCTGACAAGAGCAAACTGTTCCTTCCCTGACAGGCCACTGCTTGGGAAGGAAGAAGAAGAAAGAGAAAGCAGGAGCAGAAAGAGAAAAGGGGACCCACTTTTGGTTTGGCTCCTCTTCCATGCCAGCATGTGAGCCTTCACCGTGGCCACAACAAAGGTCGGACACCCCGATGTAGAGATTCGTAGACAGAGAGTAAAATCTTAGACTGTTCAGTGATGAGCCAAGAACAGGATGCCTTGAGATACCGTATAACCAAAAGTCCACTGATAATGAAGCAGATTCATTGACATTGACGTGAGCTCCAGTTTATGCTACCCGACTGCACTGCAGCATCTGCTTTTCACTTCTGTCTGAAGCAAGCCTAGAAAATCCATTTTCCTCTAGTTTATCAACCAAAGCTAACGCAATAAAAGAATTGCTTCACCTGGTTGTGCCTCTTCCACTCTGTCTCGATGCTTACCTTAGCAGCTTTCTTACAGCACCCACACAATAAATGCAGTATGACAACTTCAGAACTGATGCATGCAATTTATTTTCCCTTGGTAGGTTTACACAAGGTAGTCTCAACCATACTGGAGTGACAGCCAGGTCACATGGGTTCAGGTATGACAGGCATGTTTGTTTCAAAGGGCATGGTAATTTGTAAACCCTTTTGCTCTGAGATACTCCAATTTTACTCCTACAGATACTCCCTGTTCCTTATGCACACAAGCACGTTACAACTGCAACAAGATTTCAGGTGGTGCAGCTGACACACAGATTCCTTTCTGGTTTCAGTAAATCCCTTTACATAATGCTGCTCCCAGGGCCCTCAATGGGCCCAATCCCATAGTGAGTCTGCCTTCAGACCACCATCGTCAGTAACTACTGAGCATATAGCTGAAGATATAATTATTACAGACAGACAACAAGGCAAGCCCTCCTATCCCTTCCCTGGGAACATATTGTGCATTTCAGCACTAATATTTCTCATTCCGCCCTGCTTTTCAGCTAGAAATCCCAGTTCTCTTTTCATCCCGGCTTTCAAATTACTTCAGTGGGAGATGCTTTCAGTTTGCACAGTCAGTGCATAAAGAAGTATGGCATTTTTGCCTGGTACCTGGAATGCAGATAGGAAATGGGGCAAAAAATATAAATAAGGGGTAAAGGATTCTGGGCCAGCCAGCAAGGAGGAAAAGAGAAGAGATTATTAGAATTTCCATTTCTAGCCTCTTGATTGTGTTGTGTCTGCTGGTCCACTTCCAATTTCTAAATCCACGAGAACTTGAAATTGGTTCTTTATTGATGAAGGAACTTTCTTCACCATCCTTCATTTTGGTTGCATGCCCTCTTAAATAAAAGGTGAAGTGCCTGTTGCTAAACCCTTAGTATGCACGTTCAGTTCCCAGGCTGAGAATGTTGGACCTGTAGGACTTTTTCTGTCTAAATATACATAGAAGCACACCCTGAGATTTTGAAGCCACAAAAAAACCTTTATTTGCTACTTTACCATGTTAAGACATACCAATCACTAGACTCTGAACTTTCCCATCGATTGCATGCCAAGGATTGGCCAGCTGTCGCAGCTGAAATTGTTTATGTTTATTTTGGTATCCTTAATGTTTGTCAATAGAAATTACTACTAATAGCCAAACACTGAAATGGACTGCCACAAACCTACAGTGGTCACATAAACATTGCCAAAGGAAGAGGGAAGGCACTCCTGGAAAAGAGACAAGACAAGATGGCATATTTGCATGTGCTAATTTATATGTATCATTGTAACTTAAGAATTATTCATATAATTTAAATATTGTGACTTGGTATTTCCAGGTGGGGCTTTCACCTTGTGATGGCCTGTGTACCTCATGAAATTTTTTCTGGGTGGTCCAGATGGCTTACCCTGTACTGGCAAACCTCTTGTTCTTCCCAGTAAGATGGAAAAGAGTGCTTTTTTGACTGGTAGTGCTAGGACCTTCTGTCTGGAAGTACTCATGACTTGTGCGACTGCCATCCAGGTGCTAAGGGTTGGTGAATGCCTTTGAAGTCCCTGCTGTTTCCCCACATCACAGTGCTTTATCTTTCAGCCAGCCATGAAACCGACAGTGCTTCAAACGGGACAGCTTCAAATAGAAGGCTGGGCTCTCTATAGCTGAACATGGGTCTCCATAGGCAAGCATCCAGTATTTCTTGCAGCTTTGAGAGGGGGCTATTTGTAGCAGAGAAGTAGGAAAGCATGGGGTACTTTCTGAACTTCTCAGTTTCCAAATTCCAGGGCATCTCGGCATCCTGCCATCTTCTTTCTCTGTCCAAACCATCCCTCTTATTTCTGCATTTCCTGTAGTCTGTAGTCAGACTTGGCACATGCCTTTGTATGCAATGTCATACAAACGCAGCCACTGCAGGAAAGGCCAGGGCAAGGCCTCCTGCCACCACCTGGAAGAGTCGTCGGGGTCTCCTTGCTGAGGGGCACTGAGGCAGCAGTGTGCCGCCCTGACCTTGAGGCGAGGGAGGTCTGTTGCCTGCTGGGCGCATGCATCTGGCATGTGAAGGATAGAGTGAAGTGTCTTGTTTGCTCCAGGGGCCACCAGCCACTTCTGGTGATCCATGTGGGGATGAATGACATAGCCAGGCAGGGTGTGGGTGGGATCAGCAGGGAAAACTAAGAAGCTCTTTTTTAAAAAGCAAAACATATCGGAAATCCAAGGTTCTCAAGCGCCAAAATGTCAAATTGTCAGTGTGCATCTATCCTTTATCCCTTGCATCAACATTTCCTCCAGTCCTGAAGATTCAAGCATAACTGTATGTACAATTTAAAGCCCTTGTCTCAAAGGTGCATCCTATTGAATTGAATTAGAATGCACCTAGAAAGGCCATGCAGGATTGTAGCCTTGGGCTGAAGGTGCCAGCTGGTAATACTGTGCTGATTCAACTGAAAACAGCTCTTCATCTTTTCCTCCAAACAGGTGAAATGTTGCATTTTTCCTAAATGAAGTTTTTAGCCCAACACTTCACCATGGCTTCTGCTTCCGGATTCCACAAGGTTTTCCTTTCCAAGTCTTTCTAGATGTTCCAGTTTGCAACCACTAGATGGCACTGCAATTTGCAAATGCACCAGGCTTTCATGCTGCCTTTCAGGGGTGTACCAGACTCAACACACACAAAGAAGCTCGAAAACATTTGCAAAGCATGGGAGAGGCCCTGGAGGAGGATGGCGATGTTGTATAAAGCACTCACAAACTACTGTGAGGAATCAGAACTGCACAATAAATGCCTTATGGAGAAAGGTTGGCTGTCTGCAGCCTTTCTATTTACCCATCTTACATTTCTGCACTGTTTCCACTTGCAGGGGTGAGGAAGAGTGGAAACTGGAGCATGGAGAGTTTGTTCTCAGTTTCGTTTTATCACACTTTACCAGCAAGAGTAGAGGAAGAAATGCAGGGTAGGAGCCAGGCTCAGATCTCGAGTAACTTCGAGTTCCACACTTACCAAAGCACTTCTGGGAAAAGAGTAAAATGGGAATTCCAGGGGCTATTTCATAGCACAGTAAGCACACAGAGACATATGAGTAATCCACGCATCAGTCCTTATCCATGGGATAGGCAGCGTTGCTTGCTTTTCACAGAAAACTCCTCGCCCCATCCACTGGGCCCATGTCAGATGCTTCCCAGTGAAAGGGACAAAAATATTTCCAGAGAACAGTGAGAATAGTGAAAGTGGTGCAGCGAGTTAATTTTAGACCCTCCATTTCTTGGTCTTAACCACAGCCTGCCCTTTTGAAGATCACACATATTTATTATTTCAGTTGTAAAGGACAAAAAGCACCGTGAAGAGTGATTGAAAGAACTGGGTATGTTTAGCTTGGAGAAGTGAAGGCTGAGGGGAGATGAGAGAGCACTCTAGAAGTCCCTGAAAGGCTGTCACAAAGAGGAAGGAAAGGATCTCTTCTTGATCATCCCAGAGTGCAGGACATGGAATGATTGGCTCAAGTTACACCAAGACAGATTCCAAATAGACAATCAGGGGAAATGTCCTGACTGTTAGAGCCATGTGACAATTGCACCCATGACTTAGGGAGTTGGTGGGCCCTCCCAACACCGGAGGCACTCAAGATGCAACTGGACAGCCATCTGAGAGGGCTGGTTTAACTGGGAGTCCTGCTCTGAGCAGGAGGGTGGGCCTGATGGCCTTCTGGCCTTCCAACTCTACTATTCTATCATTCTATAATACAAATAACATTTGCTCTTCTCCCTGCCAAAACTGAGTGTTTAAAAAGGATTTTAAGATTTAAAAAATATTTGAATGCTTCAAAACTTGGGGATGAATTCCTGAGCGTTCAACCATGTCAGTCCTGAATTAGGATTGCCACCTCTTTTTTCTGGCAATCTTCTCATCTTTAACAGCCACAATGGCTGACAGGGACATCATGGTCTTCTTCCCATTGGTAACAGATTCCCAGTGAATTTGCCCAGGGCAGATGAGTGCAAGTTTGGTTTCCATTTGATAATTTGAATCCACCCAAATCTTCCTCCTCCTCCTTTGCAAAGAAGTTGAAATTGCATGTCCAGGAAAGTGAAATTGAAAGGGGATTCAATTGAAAGATGTTTCTCTCTCTGGACCAGGCAAGGATGCTGGTGAGAAAGGATGAGGAGGAGAATGTGGCCACAAGGATGAGGAGGAGAATGTGGAGCAGCACCAGTGGTGCCAATGGACTTGAGAACTGAGAAGAAAGCCTCACGAAAGGAGGGCTTCCTCTTGAGGGGGGTCCTGCCCAAAAGCTAAAGCAGACACTGACAGAGACAGGAGAACTTGCTGAATGGGTTAGTTGTGGCATAGCAGCGGGCAAAATGTGAGCTCCTAGTTCACCAACACAATGCTTGCTTGCTTGCTTGCTTGCTTGCAAATCAAGGTCCCCATCACTGCAAAGTAAAGTTGTGATGTGCTCAGCAACATTTAAAGGATGTGTTTTGCCCTTGGTTCTAGAAAACGTTGATTCCCCTGATGGAGACGTTTGGTGTCATATTTTGGGCTCCGTGCTGCAAGATCAATGGATTCAGAGCAGAGAGCGAGTCTTTTCTGACAGCAGCGCGGACACAGACTGCGCCGGAGAATGACAGCCTCCATCCTGTAGGCACTTCCTTCACTGACGGGAGTGAGGGAGCAGCGCTCTCTCTGTGCTTATATAGGTCAGACCAGCTTTGTGCAGAAATGTTTCCCAGGCCTCTTGCCTCTAGATGGCGCTAAAGAGTCTCTGGTTGCAAGACCGGCGCCAATGTCGGGCTGTGTCCGAACGTCTCATTTTGCAGTGGAAGGAACACCTTGCGCAGGAAGTTTTCCTTCCTGATCATCTAGCGACGGGGTGGAAAATGCTTCTGCCACTGGTGCTCTGATCACCCCCACCGCAAGATACTGGGTTGGGTCTAGGGTCTGCCTTCCAGAAGAGGATCTTTCTGCCTGATTTGGGAGGATCTCCTTGCCCCACACCACAAGCACCACCTTCAGTGGGTTGCCCTGTCCCTGTCAGTCCCAGCTG